GGTCCTCCCTATAGAAAGGACTTGGGAAGTCAATAAAACTTTTTCGGCATCTTCGGCAGAGCCTAGTGTTACCCTCAGTGGGGATGGTTTGCCTTGAGGAGCAGTAGTGCCCTTATACAATCTGCACAGTTTTACTGGTTGGATGTCCAGACCCAGTGTGCTACATAAGTTGGACCACTGTTCCTGATCAAACAGGGCCCTGTTTTCCAGTAGACTACTGCTACAGTCTGGTACATTAAAGAGGATAACGCAGTTTGATCGACTGACCGTGGATTTAGGTTCGGTCCTCGCACATTTGTCATCCCCCTTAGGACCGTTTTGTTTCATCTGGTGCAACTGGGTATTATTATGTGTCGCAGTGCTGTGGCCACTTTTACTGGTGGACGGTAAGGGTCTTTTCCCGGCGACAGGTACCCTTGGTGCTTCAACCTCTGTGTCTGGGGCAGTTATGGCAGGAATTGCAAGTATAACCGGTGTGGATTTTGGTATCCCCGATTTACATGCAATTGTGCTGTTTTCTGAGTTGGTGGGAGTGAAACGTTTCACGTTTTTTCCTGATATCTCTATGACATCTGTAGCTTTCGAGGAACTACACGAGGCTGCATTAGGACGGCAACTTGGGCAAATGTACCAGAACCATGGGCATGGGTTCTTACGCATAAAATCGTAATATACCTTTGGTACTCCGGTGTCACATCTACAATGTACCCATTGCTTACAAAAGTTACATTCGAAAGCAGAGTCTGCTTGTTCGACAATAGAATTGCAGACCTTGCAATCGTCTGCCTTCTTGGGGAACGTTTTCGTCGTCTTGCGACGTCGTGAACGTTTCTTATTGGCCTTCCTGTTTGTTTCAAGGCCTACTGTGGATATAGGTGTCATACTATTCACCTGTTTGCTTAGTTTGGCTGAAGCTCTGGTGACTACGGTGTATGGTCTCCCATTACTTATCTTGGGATGAGAATCTATAGTCATTTTACTCCTAAAATAATACCGATGATTAAATGATAAGAGACAGTGGAGTTTTGTCCAATAGACTGACAGCAAAAGACAGTAGAAAGCACAGAACAGAAAGATAAAGTATATAAGTAAAAGCTTTTGACTTTACCTGTAACTTTCGGGTTATTCGGCTTCACAACAATCACGTAACAGACCAACAAGTCCTGTATATTTGAAAGAGTGAGGGGGATGTTGCTACAGAAGTAGCACCTGAAGCTTGGGCAGTAGTTCGAGACAGTGGGAAGTACCAAACACAGGCTCGGTGAAGAAGAAATGGCTGAATAAAATTCGCCGGATAGGAAGATCAGGTTTCCCAAACGAATTATTCACAAAAGTGGATATTTCCTGTTAGACGGAAAAATGCACGTCGTATTCAAGGAGCGCGCGTGTCTGTCTGTCAACCGGTATATATATATATGTATATATGCCGGTAATAATGATAATAATAATAAGTGTAGTTAAAGCTGTCAGGAGAGTAAGACGGAAGAGAATGTAAACAAGTAAAACGACCAGTTAAATTGTCTACCTTTGAATGGTGTATGCGATTTTAAGGGTGTGCTTGGGGATTTCGGAGTTCACCTATTTTTCCTCTCAGCCCCTTCACATTGCTATACAGGCAGCTGACAGTGAGTCTTGCAACCTCAGCATGTTGTGGGGTAGTTGATGTGACGCCGTCTGCTGGTAAGGGACTTAATGTTGGGACTAGTTGGCCGGTTCCGATGGATTTAGGCAGGACACTTTGGTGACAGTCTGTTGTTTTTCAGAACTGCATCGCTCTAGTGTCACTGAAGCTTGGGGACGTATTAAAGCCTCAGTTCGCTGCCTCCTTATGGTTCGAGGTTTGCTTTTGCAGCATCGGATGTGTCCTCCCATTTTCCCCGTTGAAGTGCTATGGCCAACTTCTCTGGGGAGTTGAATGTGACACTTAGCAGCTTTGGAGAGCTAATCAGTGTGAGATGAGAGGGGCGAGGTAGTCGGGAAATGGAGATGGCTCCAGAAGCGCCAAGGGCCATCCGAGACGACAGCCATCTCCACTGCTGTACGTCATGCATATGTTTTTCACAAGCAGTGCCCGTTTCCAGCTCCGGAACACCGTGTACCACCATAGAGGTAGAAGGCAAAAGCTCCGATGACTCCCTCGCCATTTGTCTGATAGCCCATGGTCTGTCTTGTCTCACCCTTATGTTCGAACTTCTGTCAATGGCTAGTACCCGAGCCATCAATAGTGCCTTTTCGGCCTCTTCGGCAGAGTCCAGTGTAACCCGTAATGGGGGTGGCTTACCTTGAGGTGTGTGGACACCCCTGTACAGCCTGCAAAATTTCACTGAACCAATGTTCAGACCTAATTTATTTCACAGGTTGGGCCACTGTTCCTGATCAAACAGGGCCCACTGTTCAAGCAAGCTGTCCTTGCTCACAGGTACGTTAAAGAGTATAAGGGAATTAGACCGATTAACCTCAAAGTTAGGTTTGGCCATTGGCTTCTTGTTTACCTTTGCAGCATTAGCAACTTTGGGCCTCATCAGGTTCTGACCAGCTTTTGTTGTGTTGCCGAGCTTGCTTGTGGATAATAATAATAATAATAATAGTATATTCTCATTTTTTACATGAGGGACACCAGTTTACAGGCATCATCACTTCGATAAATTACACATACGATTAGTAAATATAGTTAGTAATGATAATATAATAGGGTACATATTTGTTCATACAAATATAGGAAAAACAAGTTCTATAGGAATGGATAAGAATTATTTAAGTTACATATTTAAATTACATGATTTACGGTTAAATAACATGGTTGCTGTCATTTTATCTTTAGTTTGTGGGGAAAATCGGATAACTGGTGATTCAATGGAACACACCAACAAATATAGAGATATTGACCTCGCATTAACAAAAAAAACCCAAGTATGCGTTGGATGGATTACATACACTTGGGAAAATAAATAAAGCTTGAAGTCAATTCCCTCATAAAACAATAAAATGCGTCTTACAATAATATATTCCCACTTTATGCACATGAGGGACTCCAGTTGACAGGCATCAACAATATGGTAATAATGCACACATGGAGTAAACATGTTTAAAATTTTCCACTAACACAAAATATATATACAAGGTAAGATAATGAAATATTGACCGTA